TTGCTAATTCAGATTACAGAGCTACACATGTTGTGAAAGTAAAACGTTCAACCACTTTGCCACCTTCATATTTTCAAAATGAATGTTGCGACATGAAATAAAATGAAACCATCAACGATTAAGATAGAGCCAAATTAGACTCGATTAACCCTAAATGAAACGAGCTTCGTGTAAAAGCTCACTTTGGGCCCTTTGAATTGGGATACTCCCTAAAAATTAGCACAGGAAACACAAATGAGGTTTACACAACTTCTTTTTTTACTGAGCATTATAATTTTTTGATTGCAAACTTTATATAAAGTGTTTGGAGAAAGATTTTCATTGTTTTTCTCTGTTTGGGAGCAATTGTATTTTTTATTACCATTTTATTAATCATTTATTCTAGTCAGATACCTTTTTTAGAGGCCTGAAGGTGCAAAAAAACAAACAAACACTGACTCTAATAACTAATGCAGGATATTTTTCCAGCCTGATCTATTAAAGCCTTGCAGTATGACAAACGCTGTGAAAAGTGATTAATAAAAGGTAAGATAAGATATCTTATTAAGATAAGATATCTTAATAATTAAAGGGGAATTCACAATTTTACAGAAGCAGAGTGGACACAGCTGGAATAAACAGATGCAGCATAACCTAGCAACAAAAATGCATACTATACAAGGTAGAAGAAATATCATATGCACATCGTTGGCATTTTAGATCCCAAGTACCAGCAAAACAGTAAAACAGTGTTTCATTGTGGGTTACAGAGATGATCAATCAAATATCGATCATATCGATACCAACTTTGGTATTGTATCAGATCATAGTTCAGTATGTTGCCCACTGTTAACCAATTTTTTAAATTAAAAAATGTATATGGTAATTAAAATATGTTCTAAATTTAGCAAATTAATGTTGATTCATCTCATAAACCACCTTTAAAATTTATAAATATCTGTATCCGCATTGGTATCTGTGATACTGGCCATATAATTACTTGTTATTGGCTACTGGGTTTATTTTTCCTTTAACGAAGGAAGCTAGACCAACAGAATTTAAAAATATAAAATATTTTCTATTTTATAATATTTTATAGAAATATTTTTATCTGGGAAATTGAATTCAGTCAGTTTGGCAGATTAAATAACCCTTTTCTGTTGTAGTTTGATTGTAAACAGCTTCACTGTGTCCTTACGCAAGTGGCTGTTTCTGCTCTACGCTACGTTTTATTTTTATTTATTCACATTTTAAACCCCTGTAATAGGCCCACGAAATGCCGCACATTAAACCACACCTTTTCCCCCTTCTCTTTCTGCGCCGCTACTTCTGACGTCTGTTGACACTGCTACGTTTACTTTAATTCACCTGCTACTGTCCATCTGTTAAATACCGCAGGGACACCAAATGCAAAGTGTGCCTGAAGTTTGCATCATCTGCTCTAACGTCCCCAGCTTTCTGCCCCACTCCAACTTTATAGCCCTGCACTTACCCTGCCGCGGGGGTTGGGGGCGTCCGGGAGGAAGAGGAGGGGAGGTAGGGGAGGTGGAGGGGAGGTGGGAGGGCTGGCCCCTGCTGATTCAGAGGTTAGGAATTTGCATCTGATTGCTGTTTGTCAACCAATGATGTGAGTGTGCAAACCGGAGAGTCTCTCCACGCCTCTCCCTCTCTCTCTCTCTCTCTGTCTCCGTGTCTGTCTAGCGCCACGCAAATTCTAAAAAACACAATTACATGCGCAAGCCGATCGAGTGGGTGTCATGCAGTCACATGAAGCCACTTCATTTCTAGTCGATATACATGCTAATCACCTCTCTTCGACCTCGTTCCGGGGCTTTTTCCTCTGCGCGTAACCGGTGAGAGCGAGAGCACTCGGGATTCAGAGTTGGAGAAAACAAGGAATGTTTCTTCCGGTTCTGAGGAGTGAGAATACCGAACGGAAGCCGATGTGGTAAGTTTATTTTTCTCTCTCTGTCTCGCTCGCTTTATTTGTGCCCGAGCTACCCTTTAAACTCCGTTCACTTTTCCGTGGCTTCCTCCTTGTGTTTGTCTCGTCATTTATTAGAAAGGACGCAGTTTTTTTTCTATCGATACGCTTTCAAATGTCTGATTAATTGCCTATTGCAAAGGTAGCGGATGGACTCAATGACCGTGAATCACTCACAACGGTTAGATATTAACCATACGCTGATTGAAAGGGCACTTTTTTGTAAACTATTCCCACAACACCCCTCAAGTATTTATATATATATATATGTGTGTATATATTTATTAATACTATGAAGGGTAAAAATAGAAAAGGTTGTCATTTTAATAACTAGCAGAGTTAGTCTCTGGTGTTACCTGGTAACCGTGTCACCGTAGTAATAAGGGCTATCAGTCGATTTCTGACCGTTACGTTGTCACTTCAACCACGTCCCAAACGTAAAGCCGTAAGTTCACACTGCAGGAGGATTAGTCACACTACACACCGGCTTCGTTACGTGCCAATAACAGACAAAGCGCTTTTTTCTTGCTGTTAAATCTTCGCGGCTAAAAGTGCAAATTAAAGTATGTGTGTGGGGGTTTTAAATAAACGTATATAAATATATGCATATATACATTTTGAACGACGTCTGACGCCGCGTCCCGTAGAGCTCGAACCCACTGTTTTACACCGCCATTACACATCCACTGTATGATTGTGTAACATAAGTACATCCCATTGCCCTTTAAGTTAGATATAAAAGCCAGCGCATGTAACTGCAAGTACAGCTGGGGCCTTCACTGGAGGTCTGGCTGCCATGTTCTGCATTAGCTGGGAGGGGACGAGAAGAGAGGTGGTGGTGGTGTTTTTGCAGGGGGGAGTCACCGGAGACCAAAAGGTGGCTTTATGGGCTACTTTGAAGCAGGTTTTTAAGACTGCTTCATGCCACTCACTTTAGTAAGAGCAGGCAGCCCCAAAGGCCTGTGCTAAGAAGCAAGGTTAACATATGTAGCTCCATAAGACTCTAAACCACAGTCACGCGACAGTGGACGTAAACCCAGGTTTTCCTAATCTAGCTCTGTCCTTTCACATAAAAGAGGCGGAGCTGGAACCAGATGACCAATAGCAGACATGGACAGGGTCAGTGCTGCATTTTTCCTCCGAAGAAGGAAACCAAACCAACGTAATTTTAGCTCTAGCACAGAGCAAAAAGCATTAGTTTTACATATTGGAGCGGAAAAGAAGAGATGAATGTTGACTGTGTGAATTCCTGCGTTAATAAGCCTTTCAGTATCAATGCCAGCTTTTTTTCTTAAATTATCTGACTACCTGTAATCACAATGCTTCAGGCTAAAGAAGTCTTGGTAGTATAAGGAGCAAATAGATGAACAAATAAAGACCTATCAAAAAGTAAGTAGACTTTGCAAATCTTATCAACAAGTAAGTACATGGCATAAGTGCTCCCTCTCTCTGGATTATGTTTATATAAAGGCCTCTAGGACAATTTGATGGCTGTGAAATTGCCTACAGCCTGCACTAAAAAAAGAAGAATGAATGAATGAAGCCTCTCATCAAGGAAGTTCTATTCGTTCAGGGGTGACATGCTTTTCAAAGGCTTACACACATCTGTCAGTCAAAGCACAGACTGTCAGGTTTCCAGGTTAAGAATTGTACCTAGGAAAGAAGTTAAATACTTACACTGAAAATAAAACTGTTAAACCTGAAATTACTTCTGAAAACCTCAAATCTTTCTTGGGAGTATGGACTACTCTGATGTAAAAAAACCCCAACCAAAAACATAAAAATGTAAGAAAATAGATGTACTTAAAGATGTGAAAATAACCCTACACGAGATGTCTGAATGAGATGATCTTCACTAGAGTTCAAGGGTTTTTTCAGTTTCTTACACGTAAAAAAAAAAATAAAAATCCCGTAAGTTGCTGACATTTCTGTGTAAGTGCAACTCTGACGCAGCTAGATAAAATCAAGTCCAGTCAAAAATATTCCAAAGAAAAGTCGCGTCACAGTGGTGGCTTGGACACAATGTGCCATCTTGAGTGCTACAGCATGGTAGTGGGAAAGTCCACAGTATGAGCCCTGCAGACTGTTTTCATGTGACGTCCGCAGTTGTGAAAAAGGGGGACGGCTAACGTTTCATCCAAAAGAGTCGAGAGGCCCTCAAACTGTATTTCTCTCATAATAGCCTGTTTTGTCTCACGAGGAACCTCGCAGCCACAACCAAAACTGACTAACATTTGGTTTGTGGTTACTGTTAAAGTTTCTCCCCAAGTAAAGGGGACAGTGGAGTACAGGCACAGGAAATGCCCCGTAGAGTACATTTGTCTGGATGACATTAAACATTTATGACACGAAAAAACAGTCAAGTCTGGTTTCACTGTCTTATTTAAAGGTGGTTTTAGATGCTTTTCCCTTCCATCAGGATGAGTGACTCTTTGTAAAAGTTTTTTTTTTTTTTAAAGGCTAATATCTTTGTGCTATTAATCAAAGGATTAGATTCAGATTCATGATTCTCTGTTGCAAAAATGCAACAAAGTGGTCCATTGTGTGGTTTGAGGTCACAGGCACGGTTTTGAAATGTTCTTTGTGTGGTCATCAATTTTGCAAAAGTTTTCAGCACGCACACAAATTGATGAGGAGGACGGGTGTTTTTGAAACCCAAAAAGGTGAACCAGGAGAAGACGCCGCCAGGAAGGTTGAGAGCCGTCCCGCATCTGAGTGGGCATAATTACTTCTTAAGTTGTTGCTGACAGACACAAAGAAAGTGTGAGCTGCTGAGTCGCAGAACTTGGCATCATCTTAACAGAGATTTCCAGGTCCTGATCATGGCACCCACGCCCCACCATTCCTCAATCACCTTAGAAAAACTGCACCGCTAATCTGTTTGGTCCCCTCTCCATATGGTATCCTTTGACCAGCGGCATAGGGAAAGGCAGCTGAACCAAGCCAGGCTTTTATTTTACATTGTGATTGGCTCATTGTAGATTAGAAATGAAATGACTGGCATTCAAAGCAAAATGTAATGTGTTTCTCACTCATTGCTTGTTTTTTTTTGTTGTTTTTTTTTGTTCCATTTATTATCGTAGGCGATTGAGCCTGCTATCATCTAGATATCAGTCCTGCTGACACATGTATTGTGGGTTGGCCGATGGCCATGTCTGTCTTCTCATTGCATTGGCTTCTACTGATATGCCTGCTTTCTGTTGCTGGTTCCCCGGAGTGTGTTTTCTGTTTTCTTTCTCCTGCTGTTTAACATGGTCCCTTCTGGCCTCTTCTTTAATCTGCTGTTTGGGATTATCTGTATTGAAACCATCTCAGGTTCATGTAACACCTTATATATTAGTCATGTGTGTTCCATGTAGAGCCAGACTTCTGCTTTTCTTTTAATTCACTTTTTCTTCTTCTTTTTGTCTTAAGGAGTTTGTGCCGCTGGTAGGTTCACACCTCACTGTTTCTCACCTTGCCAAATGCACATATCAGCATGAGGCAGTGTCACGTTGTCATTTACAAGCAAAAATCCACATAGCTTCCTGTCGTCAGCGGTGCCTCATCTCAGCCCAAGTGTATTTGAAGATCATTTGGAAGTAGTAAGTGTCACATGCAAATAGCTTGTTCAGTTTGCCTCCGAGCATCACGGCTGAGTGAACGACAGACACTGGCAGTTGGCCACTAAACTGGTTAGTGGCTGTGCGTTAATGACAGGAAGACATGCTCAGACAGGCCAGACAAGTCTACTTGTTTTCTTATCAAACTATAAACCTTTTACTGTGTTCAGGGCTATTTTCTTGCTTTAATTTGTCACCCTTCCTGCAACTCCCAAGGGGTGTGGGCTTTGGCTCAAGGACTGCATTGACTACTTGAACGCTTCTGTATCAGCAGAGATTGTATTACTGTGAATGTTGAGTGCTGTCTGCACACCACAAGCCTTCCTGCCATTAAAGTAGTGGGAGGCAGCGCGGCTTGGCTGCCTTTCAGCTGTTCTTGTGCCAAAAGCTGCTTTTCTGAAGGCACTGTTCAGCACGTGGGCCTTTAACTGTAGCCAAAAAATGCAGGGGAAAAAATCCATACAGTTACTTCATTACGTGGGCTCGAGTCATGAGGGAATCCCAGCAGGCCTGACAGTGACGTAGGCAAAAAGAAAGGACTAAGGCTTTGGGATGGCCCGCAGGTCCTGAACCAACCTGCTCAGACAGATGTAAGCTTTGTGAACGCAGTGGGTTCGGCGCCAGACAGGTGCCCCGTGCTCATCTGCCCGGATACCAGGCCACAGCTGCAACATGTTGACGTGTCCATCAGACCTGAAGCATTTCTGTTACATTTAGCATTACGTTTGTGTCAGCTGGCACTAACAACCCACCCGAGTAATCAAAAACTAATTTCATCAAATATAAATCCTTTGCTAGCAGATCAAGCTGCTGGTATTTATTAGGCAGAGATGTTTAATCCACATCTAATACAGAACTGACCACCAGCAGTGTTTTTTTTTCTTTTCACTGTGTGCAAAGAAGTCTTTATCTTAGGTTTCCAATCATCCATCAACCGTGTACACACAAAAGGATGGATTGTAAAAGATCACAATGTAGTGACGTGACCATGTAGTCTCTATATAAACCGACAAGTTAATCCAGTTTTCATGCCATTCAATGAAAAATACCCCCCCTCCACCTTTCCCATGCTAGACGAAGCGGCGTCATATCATCACTCTGGAGCCACAATGGCAGTGCACTGAAACCTGCGAGCTGCAACATGCAGCCTGTCTCCTGAGCTTCTGTTTTTCATGGCAAAGTTCTGACCTGGTAACTGCCTTTATAGTAATCACTGGAGGTACTAAAGTAGTTAATATTAATATTAGCAGTACGGGTGGCTTGATTAAATGCACTAATTGTATTAAAAAAGTAGTGGGGTTATTTTTGTTTTGTTTTTTTAAACCATAAAGGGAATAGACACTTAGTAAAGTACTGAAAGCT